CGACAGTGATGTTGGCTTTCACCCCGCGGATGCAGAGTTGGCCTTCTTCCTGTTGGACAGGCAGGCGCCAAACACCGGTGGTTAGCTCGTGCTAGCGTGCTGTAGCTTGCAGTGTAGTAAACGAACCCACGTACAAGAAAATGTAAATTAATAGCTGAATACTTTGATGCTGTATTAATAATGTGTTACAACATTAAAGTAACATTAGTATTCTAGCCTGTTGTTTTGTGAGGCATTACCTCTGACACTGGAGGAGTTTTTCACTTAAAGTGCATAATCATAAATCAAGAGTATCCCTAATGGCTGATCCCTTGCTTCAGAAGAAAAGGAGGGGGCTGTAATGTCAAATGTTTGGATTCAAAATCGTTTCCATATCTGTATCCAATCTTCACCTTATCCCCTGCGTCCTCCTGTTAGTGCTTGGACTCGAACAGGTGTCACCTACAGTGGTTCAAACCATTACAACAGAGGTCAGAGGTCAGGGTCCCCTCCCAATGAATGATGGGGGGGGGGGGGGGGCGAGGGGAAACTCTCAGGTGGGCGTTGTGCTGCACAGAGAGTTACTGACACACTCGTGCACAGTTCATTTCATCTTACTTATTCATGCTAATGTTTTTCATTTGCCAGTTAAGTTGTTTTTCTTGGCATTTTCAAGGCGCTGCATTATTGCAGGGTTCGTTCCTCATAAACGTTTTTATAGATCGAGTAATAAAGGAAGGCAGGAAAAACAACAAAGCCCATTCTGCATCTTTATTAAGATTTGGCATTTGGGGCACTTGAACGTGACACCAATGTGCTCGAGCCGTGATTGAGGAAACGGCTCTGTAAAGGAGCTCACGGTCGACGGTGAAGTGAGATCATCAGAGCTATTTGTGAGATTTGTTGGGCGGTCCACAGGAGGAGGTCGGTATGTGCATACTTCCCCTGATATGTATGTGTTTATTTGCACAGCACATCTAAACAAAAGAGCGAGAAGGGAGGCCACTTCAGCCTGACAAAGGTCACACTTCCTAATGCAGGAAAACTGCTTCCTGGCCAGCCAGAGCTCAGCCGTAAGATTTAGTCCACCAAGGAAAAGGACTCGGGGAGGAACAGCGCACACACCTGGAACGCTAACTGAGGTCTGTGAGAGACATCCTGTTAGCTTTATCATTACTGTATGTTTTAAAGAAAACCTCGACTTTGAGTGTTATTTATCTTCCACTTTGAAAATCAAATGTTGTTAGCACCTTCAGGCTCAAACAGCAGCACTTTGAGGAACGCTGAAGAGAAAACAAAGCCTTTAACTGTTTCCCCACGTCGGGAACAAAAGCGCCCTGCCTCTGCCTACACGGAAGCAAACACCACTCCACACAAATTGCAGTAAGCAAAGTGCTACCATTAATCAAATGTGCTCTTAGTTCAGAATGAGTGGACGCCTGTAACTCATCGAGGGCCTTTACTTTTAGTATTCGCTGTTACACTCAGAAGGCAGGACTCAGGTTTCCAAGAATAAAACAGTGTGTTAATCTAGAAGTCAATCTGTGCACCTGCAGTGAGAGAGAGAGAAAGAGAGAGGGGGGAAGTTATCAACCCCTCGAGTGTTTGAAGTGCTATTTCATCTACAAGAGAGGCACAGATGAATACTCAAGGAGGTTTCTCCCTGTTGAAGTGCAAAATCTATGTTTGAATAACTTTGAATAGGATGCAAATAACAGCCCTGAAGAGAACAGATTCATGAGGAGGTGTAACAACACAGGACAGGTGAGGCTTCAGTGTGGCTGACACAGGAGGGACAATGCTTCTGAGACTCAGGGATAAGAAGAACATTGAGCAACACTTTTCTTTGCAATGATCTCAATTAGCAATGTAGTTAAAAGAGCAAACTTTCACAGCATTGTAAGCATTTTTGCTGTCAGAAAAAGACTAAAATGTTGCACCTTTGTACAGGCAGGTCGAGCTGCAGTCTCACTAAAGCTAAATTCTTTAAGGACACAGTCAGTAAAGCACGACACTGTCACTTTACAACATGCCTTCTAGTCCTGAACCTAACCAAATAAAGTCACCTTTAATGGAGCACCTGTCACACAAACATGCAGCCAGTATGCCTCACACGGGACACAAACAGATGGAGAATAAGAACAAAGAATGAAAGCAACACACATTCTTTTAGAAAAAACTAAAAATGTCACAAACTAATGAATAAAAATCAGTAAAAGTGGAATCACTGGGGAAAAACTGCTTTGACTGAGGTATTCAATTACTCCAAATTCATTTCCCTTAAAGAGAGATAGCCACGCAAGTATTAAATTAGTTTTGGCTCCCAAACATTAACACTGTGTTTTATATTGGCTGACTTTTTCCGTACTACATGCACTGCTGCGCATCCCCAGGTGGATCGACTTTCCTTTACTCTGCGTCACCCAAATGTATGAAGAATAAATGGGAGGCAGTTCCAACTTTACGCCAGCGACAGAGTTAGCTGTGTGTAGAGATGCACCAATCCACTCTTTTTCAGTTCCCATTAGATTCTGAAACATACCGATTCTGATTCAGATATTTTTATATCGTAATTAATAATGTAATTGTTGGTATTACTGCATGTATTGTAAGATAATTGACCTATGGTGCAGATAGCAATAACACCATAGCCATATCTCTGAATTAACTAATGTATTTCTAGGATCTCTGCTGACCTGAATTGAAGTGTTATAAGTTATAGGATCCTTATCCGCTGCTGTTATTCTCAACAATAAAGAACAGCTGTTGTAGTGAACTCTGTGTAGGATAGGTCATTATCCAAAATCAATGTATATCACGATATGTTTTGCCTCTGATCAAGATACGTTTTGTGATCCTGGGGTTGTGGGAAAACCCCCGGCCCTATTAGCCACGCCCATAATCACAAATAACCCTTATCCTTCATAAAACGATAACAGATGATTCAATCAAAAATTGAACAGAGCTGCTCTTTTTTTGTACTTCTATATATCGGCCTCATTCTTCAACACCACAGGTTGCCGTACATTCAGTGTCTAAAATGTCCAGATGCCAATGCTGGTTTGTTACACTTCACCTGTGTGCTTCTGGAAAACAGACATGCTGCCTATAATCCCACACTGAGGCGTGTTGTCTGGTTCAGTGTGGAAAAAATAAAAACATGGCATAATCACGAAGCTTCTTCTGAGTGTTAGTGCAGCATCTTTGAATAAAAAAATACCAATGTTTGCTGCGTAATAAAGAAGGATGACAACTTCAAACTATCACTTTGGTTTATAAATGTGTCCTGTTTTAGCTGCCTCAGTACATCAGCCTCCTTTAACATTTGAAAATGTTGTTGTAAGATCAGATCCCAGGACTGGGTGACTCCTGATACCCCACAAGTAAACACCGACTGTGGGAAAATCCTCCCAGTACCCAGTCCATGTGATGTGAGCGACTTGAACGAAAGAGCTGGATGACTTTAAAACTTTTCATTTTGGGGCCTCTTTGAGGATGTGTGTTTGTGTTTGTGTTGTTTGTCTTTGCTGTGTGTCTTATCTCTGCCCTCTTGTCTCTTCTGCTGTAATCAGGGTTTCTCGCTGAGATGACCCGATTAACTAAAGGTTGTGATAATAATCATTTTAATCTGATACATAACCCTAATTGTTTTTTTTCCATCACTTTTTTTCAGCCAAGCAGAGAGCCCGCAGTCCTCTTGGAGTGTTTTGTTCTGTCTGAGCAGCAGTCCAAAGACAAGAGACATTTTAGATAATGGACAACAGAGACACAGAAAGACTCTCACTGAGATGAACTTGTGGTGCAAGAGGATTTAGCCTTCACTACATCGCATCATCATCATTACTTTATTTGGCATCGCAGAGTTTTGTTTGGCTTTGATTTCTGTATCTTATTTTTTATTCTTTTCTTTTTTTTTTTTGTCTATTTTAGGTTGGCAGATCTGTTGATATTTGATCATAGTTGGGTTTTCAACGTGGCAAAACAACAGGAGAAGTAATTAAAAAGGCGGACTGGAGATGCTGGAATAAGAAAAGAAAATCAGTGCCTTGTCATTTTTTAGATTAAGCTCATCATTTTAATCAGAATCCATTAGAGGAGAGGCTAAAGTCATATACTCGATGAGTGTCAAAACAAAGAATAGATTTATTAACCTGTTTATATTGTTAAGGAATCATTTATTTTTACAAATTTAAACCATTTTTGCTTTGTTTTCCTGAAATTTCATTGCAGCATGGAAACTGTTGTTATAGCAACTTTTTCCAATATTTCATGTAATGAGTTTCAATATAATATCAAAATATATTGTATTTCTTATAATATTGTAACTTGGCAGCAAGATAACTGAAAAACAACATCTCTTATCTGATGGACAAGTATCCTGAATTAAGCCAACAAGATTACAGCGGACCCTAGCCTGCCCTGCACCCCCTATAGTCTCAGTATGAAGTCTTGACTTCAGGGCGCAGGTGCAGAGAGACCAGGATCAGGACTACAGAGGCCTTGTGTCCTTTGCTACATGCACTGAACTTGGCACTCTGCACTTTATTGTTTTCTTTTTTAAATGGTTTTATTGTGTGTCCGGTATATGCTTTCAACATCTCTTATCACTTGTATTGTGTGTTTATGCTCCAGGTGCAAGTCAAATTCCCCTTGGAGCAATAAAGGTTTCACTCATTCATATTTTAAAAGTGAAGTTAAATCTATTTTGGGTGGTACCTTTCTAAAGACTCACTGACGGATTATGTCAAAACTGTTTAAAACCTCATGGAATCAATTCATGACACATTTTTCAACGAATCCAGGTCCCGTCACTTAAAGGGGGGCATCTAGAGAGCTCCAAGGCTCCAAAGCAAAATCCATCATCCGGCGACAGCTTGCAATTCTTTCAAATAGTTATTTCAATCAATCGAGAAGAGAAAATCTGAAGCTTGTCCAAACTTCAGTCAGGTTCTCCTGCACAAATTGCCCCCTAATCAGAGATAGTTGGCAGTGTTGAGAGGCTGTAAATGAGAGTTACTCACAGTGAAACGGTTCTATTGGGGAGGAAGCTGGGCTGCAGGGTGTCCATCAGGTCCACATCATCACACACCACTTTGACCCGGACGTGCTGCCGGCTCAGCTCCTTGGACCTCTCCGCCGAGCAGTGACAGCTGTCAACGATCAGGTCCGGACAGTTTCTGTTGCTCAGGCTCGACTCCCACAGCGCGAGCATGACGCACAGAACAACCAGAGGTCTCATGGTGGACCGAGGTTCTCTTATGTATATTTAGATATATTCAGGTTATATCCTCATAACTGCTGAGACCAGTCGGGACAATTTCACGCTGCCTCCGGTGACAATAAAGTCCAGATCTCGCGCCTTGTTGGTCACCTGCCGCGTCAGAAACAGTTGTAAACCTTCAGCGCTTCTTTTGGAACTAAAACAGAGAGAAAAGTGCAGCATCAGGGGCGTGAAGCGCGCTTTCTTTGCCATTCTGTGTCAGAAAAAGTCCTCCACGCCGTTTTCAGAGCCGCGGCACGAGAAAGGAAAACTTCCCACGGCGCGCTTTCAAAGTCCGGGAAAACTTCAGTGCGACACATCCTCCCGTCCCAGCGACAGCATGAAGAAAACACGTGTTTGAGAATGATAAGTATAGTATCCACAATAATCCGTCTGCTGTATTAGCTTTTGCACCGCGTGCTGTCACTCTCTCTCATCATCCACTGATTCTTGCGCCCTTGGACTTGTTGCGCACTTGTGTCCAGAAAGTCCCTCCCCGCTGAGTGCTGACAGGCTCCAGCTTGGGCTCCTAACTTTTAATAGACACATGAGGCCACAGACACAGACCTGAACACATCTCATCAATAAATCATGTTTTTCTTCATCACTCTTAACTGTTTATTCACCTGGAAGCACCAGTGAAAGAGAAAAAACTATCTGATCCAGACGGTAACCACAGGAGAGAATAACAGTGAAATTAAACTCCGTTGTGTCACCTCCGAGGGTCCCTGAAGGCCCCACTGTGGGATGTGTGCAGCAGTGTGCACTGAATGATTTCTCAAACACAAACATTTAGACTGTGCGATGAAGACTGTTTGTTTTATGCTCTTTATTTACTCGAGCACAGCTGCAGAGGAACACTTTGTATCCTGTTTCTATGGCTCCTACGCAAAACTGAAAATTATCTAAACCTTGAATCACTTCTGTATCTCAGCAACACTCCCAACAATGCTCTCTCTTCCTATTATGTTCCAGGAATTATATCAAATACACATCATTTCATTACAGTCAACATAAAATCAATTAGATAAAATAGGGGAGACCGGGGACAGTTGCAACAAGTCTTCCCAAATACACTGCAACATGCAAAATGAAATTAAACGTCTTTGTATAATGTTATAAATATATTGAATAAGTACATCATAGGCTATCAAACAGTATTCCATAAATCCATAACGTTGTGAGAAAATGCTTCTTTTAGGAATACTTGGCTGATATTATGTGAAGATTTCAATGTGTAGGGGTTGGATCTTCAATTGCCAACGAGGGCAATGACCTGCAAGAGACGAAACGAAATACATTAGGTAAAAACGTCAAACTAATTCATAACAAACAACAAACACAACGTCTGAAACACACTTCAAATGATAGAAACATTCAGCAAAATGTCAAAACAACACCAAGACTGTTGCAAATACGTTTGACACATGATCAAAACGAAATGTAAAACATCTGCACTCAGAAAAACGCTGCAAATCCATAGTATTCAACGTATATGCTCCAGGCCTGTAGGGGCCCTCAGTGGAACAGTTTATTATTGCAGCGAGAGAGTGAGGGAGAAGAAGAAGTGAATTTATAGCTTAAAAGGGAGAGAAAGCATAGTTTGATGACAGAGACTATAAGGTTGAATTTACTGTTGACGTTTTAAAGTGAGTCTGGCCTAGACCTGCACGCCGGGGGATTAGACAGCTGAGCAGAGGTTTTATCGGGGGAGCTCCAGGATTTATGGAGCTAACGCTAGCAGCGGGGCTAAATGAGCTTTGTAGGTAACCTAATGCCCTTTACACAACACAGGTGATTTGGGCTTTGGATTGTCAGATAGTTGGAGTAATAAGGCCCATGATGGGACTTTGGTCCCAGTGTTCTGCTCCCCATGAGACCTAATGAATCATGTTTGACTTTAGAGAAGACCGTGTTGTGGTGGTTTTATGTCAGGTGGTTTGAGTTATAGGGCCAGCAACAAGGAGCAGCAACCGGTCCCGGGGTCAGGACCATGGGGTCTAAAAACGAGGCATAGAGTGTTGGCTGTGCAGCCAATTTAGCACAGCTATTTTGGACTTTTCATTTACTTTTTAATTAATATTTGCTGCTTGTTTTTCATGGGTCGTTTTGACTGTTGCCATTTAGTTGGCGTTGTCGGACACTATACTGATCGATGCCCCATGGTTGAAACATTTGACTTCTTCTATTCTATGTGACATATTGAAAACACTTTGGATTACAGGAAGATGTCCGTTACAATAAATAAAACGGAGTTGGTCTAGTCCAGATTGTCCCTTGGTAATTTAGAGAATCATAAATATTCTCCCCTCTGTTTTCAGGGCACATTGCAGTGTTGTGTTAATGCATCAGATCCATATCGCTCTGCTGTGATTAGCTGATGTGAGAAGCTGCTGCAAGCCGAGGGCACTTTACGAGTAAAGGACACACTTGTAAAGCTGACATTTACTGAAACGACCGCAATAAATAAAGAATATGAGTTGGAAAGTGACCAGGCTGACACAGTTACACAACGTTGGACTCTTGCAGATAATTAATGGCTTGCTTCTTTAGAGCTGCACTTGAACAACATCAGAAACAGACTGAAGACGGAGGGGAAGAAGTGTTTTTCTGCAGATTCTTGCAGAGCCTGAGAAAGAAAATTTAGCTTTGAACTGAATACACATTGATGAAGAGGCATAAATACAGGAAAATACAGTTCCAGCTTTCATTAACACTATTCTCTCGCAGTGTGCGCTCTTTCAGCCCCAGACACATGATGACTCCTGACACAAGAGAACAGATAACGAGGCCCTGATGTCTCGCAATGACTGAAGTTTCACTTATTTATATCCCAGTCAGTATTTTTGATGATGATGTTTAAAAAAGACTTTTGGTCAGCTGTCAGAGACGTTCAAAGTGCTTTGGAAGTTTGACATTTTGAAGACATCTGAACATTTACATTTAGACAATATTTCCACATGGATTTGCTTTCCATTTTGCAAACTTTTTTTTATCCTCAACAATATCCTCACTTTGTAACTCCAAAATGACACGAGTCATTGTAATTTCTTGCTAACAGTTGGTTTCAAAGACTCTAGGGTTGGTTGGTTAAATGCAGTAAAAAATTAAGAAAACTCGAGTTCTGATCGTTCTCTAGGCAGCTATTAGACATGTTTTCAGCTTTGGCTTTCCCTTTTAGGAAGATAGCCCCATAGGCAACGTATGCTTGTACCCAGACGCTCATATGTTTAGTTTCAAGAAAACTGGGGATGTGTCACGGCTCTCTCACTCTGGCTCCCTCCTGATTGAGGTTCATTTCTTTCACCTGCTCTCACCTGCACACCAGCTCTCCATCTCCTCATCAACTCAGCAGTATATATACCCCGGCTCTCCATCCACTCATCGCCAGATCGTTGTGTCAACTACTGTGGTAGACTACGCTGCTGGCTAAATTAAGATTTTTTTAAAAACCTTGGAAATTAGTCTTTTTGTGCTTGTTTTGGTTTTTTGAGTCTCACCCTGTTTTTCTTTTGCTTCAGGATTGCCATTTCACCCACCTGCCTTCCTGCTCGGCTATCTGCCTCAACCTGCTCTCTGGATTCAAAACTGCTCAGCCACACTCACACCCCTACTCTGGTCTGGTCAGCCTTCGTCCCCTTCACTCTGCTAACCTCCGGAATCTTCAACCCATCTCCATCTCCATTTGCCACAATAAACCTCATTACCAATAAACCCCTCTGTATATGTGTCCTGCATCTGGGTCTTAAATTCACTGGTTGTAACAGGGTGAGGAACTGAGGGTGACAGAGTGAGGCTAAACATATGTCGTTAAATTTCAGTAGTCAGCGGAAATTGTCCAGCTAAGCCCATGTTCAGGTAAAGCCGTTTACTGCACCAACAGCTAGTTAGCTAGTTAGCAGCAGCAGCAAGCCGGGCTAGAGTTAAACCAAAACTGACAGGCTAACCGGAGGCAGTTTCGTGGGTTTCGTTTATGGTTAAAATGTTAAATGGACTTTTGCTCCAATAGTGCTTTTCTAGTCTTCTAGACCAGGGGTTACCAAACTTTTCAGCCTGTGACCCCCAACATAACGGCGCTAGAGACTGGGGACCCCCCATTGTCCCTGGAGGTGGTTAAAACATTTAACACAGCCACGCACACTCTTACGCCTTTCCAAACCCTGGCATTAGAAGACCACATAATAGCCCAAACACCATCATATTATTTTTGTAAATTATAAGAAACTACTTTTTGTTTGTATTTTCACAATAATGGGTAAAATACGCAATTTCAATCAATTTTCCATTTTATACGTCTTTGGAAGGAATCTTGTGACCCCCACTAACAGTGTCTTGCAACCCCCAGGGGGTCCCGACTCTCAGTTTGGGAACCACTGTTCTAGACGACACAAAGTAGCTTTTACACTGCTGCTACATGAAGTGCCTATCACTATTAACTAATCCCATTCATAAGCATTCACCCATCACTGGCTATGCCACTACGGGAACAATTTAGGGTTCGGTTTCTTGCCCAAAGAAGATTCCACATGTGCAGGAGCTGTGGATCGAAGCTCTAACTTTCCAGTTGAGAGACGACCGATTCTACCACTGATCCACAGTATAGCTGCTGCTAGCCAGGGAAAAATCTTAACAGACGATATGAATTTGTTCCCCTTGGATGGATGTTCCAACAAAGTCAGAATCACTTCTTGTTTTGATTTTAACATTCTCGTTACACCAACATATTTTTTTTAAGATTGCAATTTCGCAGCAACACAGTTAAGAAGGTCCGTCATCATTAGGTCTTTGTACTCTCAAACTGATTCTTCAACATCTCAGCCCTGTAACGCAGCAGGATCACTTTATCCCCCCTATCATGCTACCATAACATTCATTTTAAATGTAATACCTCACAGGGGTGTAAATATGGCACTTTGAACTTGTAGTCTGAATGATGCTATTTTCATAAAAACAAGCAGCGAGCTTCACGAGGGGGATGTAACATTTGCATTGTAAATACTTGCATATGTTTTAAAAGTTTGTTAGCTGGTTTAACAAAAAGTCTTATGAGGTTAAGATATCACACACTTTTGACAGGAAATAATTGTAGAAATCTCTGTTGCCTCTGACTGGGATTAGAGGATGGACATTTTGAACACACAGTATCCACTGACATCAATCATGGAAGATCCATGAAGTGTCCGACCCCGGGGAGACAGAAGCTGTGAGACAGCTGGCTGGTTGGGCTCCCCAGGGCCGGGGCGAGGTGCTTTCCCTGCGTGTGTTTGTGTGTCCGTGTCCAAAAATTCCTCCCTCATTATCCACATTGTCTCCGACGCAGCCAGAGAGCACAAAGGAGGGTTTGAAGCCGCTCCCACTGACCCCGCGAGCCGCCCGTGTTCCCCATTCTTCAGTCTGACAGGCAAACACAGGCCGCGGCCTCCCTACAGGAGCGGGCTGTGCAGGGCAGG